GGCGGAGTAATTAATGACAGAAGTTTCATTTTTGGGTGAACTAACTCTTTAACAGTAGTGGACTGAATCCCTAAAAAACACTTTGCTGAACCTTTCAGCTCAGCTAAATAGCATGACGGTAGCAGGAGGAGCAGGATCTGCGATTCAGCTACAGAGTGAAATGCAGCACAGCCCTCTGACCATCAGTAGCGTGAGTGAGGTTTCAGATTTCAAACCATTTCATATTACATATACAACCAATTCAGAACTTAACAACCATTTGTAATAGAGCTAAAACAATCTTGTGTTTATAGATGTATTCTGTGTTGTTTTTGTAGATGCCCCAGTTTTCCCCTGGGTTTCCGTGTGCCGCATCAGTGTACCAGACCGCCCCTCAACAAGTTCTCACTTTCACTCAGGCAAACCAACAGGTTGGTTCAGTAATTGGGATTATTTGTAAGGACTGTTCAAAGTAGTAATATTATATATCAAGATACCATTTCTGTGTTACATTCTTTAGTGTTCTCCCGGTGGGATTTATGGCAACTACAACAGCCATAGTCTGTTTCCTCAACCCCGTATTACTGCTCACAACCAGGACTTGCAGCCCAAGACTTTTCCTAAACCCATCTACTCCTACAGGTGAAATAAGATTCACTGCGACAGCCTCTGAAAAACATTAAAGGCATTAAAGATTTTATTTATCTATGTTTGATATCTTTTCTCAGCTGTCTGATTGCCATGGCTTTGAAGAACAGCAAAACAGGCAGCCTTCCTGTTAGTGAGATCTATAGCTTTATGAAAGAGCACTTCCCTTATTTCAAGGTGAGGAGTTTATGCAAAAGAATGCCGGCGAATAGATGGACTAAGCCGACACACCATGGAATCAAATAAATGTTACTTACAATATACTGTACTGTCGATTACTGTGCTTCTCAGACAGCACCTGATGGATGGAAAAATTCTGTACGCCACAACTTGTCCTTGAACAAGTGCTTCGAGAAGGTGGAGAACAAGATGAGCGGTTCCTCCAGAAAGGGCTGTCTTTGGGCACTCAATCCTGCAAAG